TGTCAGGCGGCCAGGCCCGCCGGAGGAAGCAGCCCCCCAGGCCAGCCGACTTCAAGCTGCAGGTCATCATCATCGGCTCCCGCGGCGTGGGCAAGACCAGCCTGATGGAGCGCTTCACCGACGACACTTTTTGCGAGGCCTGCAAGTCCACCGTGGGTAAGGGTTGGGGGCTGGGCCGGACCCCGGGCTGGAACCTCTTGCAGCCGGCGCTGCCCTCCCTCGGTCCCCAGGGCTAGTGCCTTTAGCTCTGTCGGCCTCGTTTTCGTCGCGTCTGTGAGCCTTTCTCCAACTGTATGGCCCTGAGTGGCCTTGCATTCGGTGAATGGGCCTCTCGGTGAAATCTAGAGGGAGGGGGAGGCCCCGTAGAAGCCCCTCGATCCTTTTCCCGAAGCCAGACACAAATTTCGTTGTAGTCTCCACATAGACTTACCCTTGGAGCCTCCTGGCCCTCCATCCTCTGCTGCCACAAACCCCTCGCGCCCCACTTACGGCCCGGGTCGGAGCGGGTTATTGAGCACAGGCGTCTCAGCGGCCCCTCCCGCAACCTCCAAGTGCGGTCATGAGGCCATGGTGATACATTAGTCCCGTTCAGCTCTCAGACACAATGTGAGCATCTCTTCGCGGAAACTCCTGGCCCTTAACATCAGTCACCCAAGAAAAAGGTGGTGTAAGGTGGACAGCAGACAGGCAGTGTAGTGAAGTTGAAAGCTATGCCCCTGGCTAGAAGCCCAAGTGGGTCGTCTATAGCTAATTTTGGTGCCTTAGCTTTGCCTCTCACGAGGAGCATTTCACCGTAAACTGAGGGCTTATTTTCTAATTCTGAACTCACTTTTATGATGCGCTAAAAAAATGAAGTTTAAAATTCTCTGTGGAAGATCTATAAAGAATATTAAGACTAAAACCACACTAAATTTCTTGCCTTAACTGTAAGTGCAGGGCAGAGGGGATTCAGCTGTACTTGTCCATGACCTCAACCCAGGACTCGCAAAAATGGAGACAAGTCCTCCAGTACCACCCAGCGGGGTCAAGTATAACAAAGAAGTAAATAGAATAACACTCCAGGTCAGGAAATACGATGTCTTCGGTACCTAAAAGTGAAACTGGAGGGGAAATTTTTGATGGAGTCAAATATACAGGATTTGGCATAGGAATGTCAGGTGGATGTGGATAGCAGTTGTTTCTGTGGAAAACCCTTTAAAAGCTGTCAAAGCTGGGGGAACCCGGTAGATGAGGTGGTTCTTCAAAATTAAGGGCAGTCACCTAAAGTGATAGGCAATGAGGGGCTTTCTTAGGGGAGGTCCAGGAATCACTGGGTAGTATTTAAGTTTGAAATTCAGAATTAAGAGCATCATTCTGTATTCTTGTACATATATTTAGTATTGTTAACTAGTGGTGGTCCCAAGGCGGTGCGATTTGGGGATGAATTGATTTTAAGTTGGCATGTAACAAAAAAAATACTACATTTAAAATGTCTTAATGAAAAATTAACTCCTCAAATTTCATATTGTTGTTTTGTTTTATTTGTGAGAATTTGTTTCCTTTAATGCCTTTTTTTTTTTTTTTTTAATAGAACATTTTGGAAATATGCGTGCTCTCTGTACCCGGTTTTTAAAATGTTGACCTTGGAATCATGATAGTAAAATTCAGTAGCATAGCTATACCTGTTTCACATATCCAATCTTGGGTCATATAAAGTTCAGGGAGTTGTTAAACCATGAGATGAGAGTGTTTATGCTGTTACTTTAGTACCTGACATAAATAAGTTAAAAGCAATTCAGAATTATCAATATTTATGGCTCCACACTTTAAAGTACATGAAAATAGAGAATAATATAGTTTTACTGTGTGATGAAGAGAAACCAGCACAGGCACTAAGGAGCGGATAATAGGGATTGAGTGGATGGTAGTATGATAGGAGATGGATGAGCAAAGGTGTGCTTTAGAGTGGGGCAGAGGAGAGATGACGAAGGGTTTTCTAAGCCGAGACCACAGTGAAACAGCACCTCTACATTCTGGGAAAGACTCATTAAGACACATCAGGAATGAATGTTTCAGGACCTTGACTACCATGCCAAGGAGTGTGGACCTTAGAACTGGAGCCGTAAAGCCTCTGAGTACGGCTTGGGCATGGAGTCGGTCAAACTAATTGGGCAGGATTTCATAGGATATTTGGGAATGAAGAAGAAAGTGGGAGGCAAGGAGATCAGGCATTTTGTTCCTCTGTCCCCTTAACAAACAAACATACATACACTTGTTCATGCACGTATGTCCCCCACCACTACCACGGTGGGATTCCTTGTGTGGTTGGATTCTTGTCTTGCTCATTTTTGTTTCCTCCATACTTAGCCTGTGGTACTTGGCTTGATAAGTGTTTATTAACTGTAGGAAGTTCAGACAAAGATGGTAGCTTCTGGTCTGTTCCAGAATGTGAAGACACTTTAAGAAAGCTAATTAACCCTCCTTCAAGCTCTGCCTCTGAGTTGCTTTTTCCTTCTACTTATCAGATCACTTACTGAGCACTTACTGTGTGTTGGGTCCTTTGCTACCCACTGGAGACTGTGGTGAATAGGACGTAGTCTTTCCAAATGTGGCCCAGAGTCCTGGGGAACAAGATGATCCAGGTTGACAAGAGCAGTGGTAGAGATGTGTACAGAATATTTGGGGAGCACAGTGGAAGTCCCTCCAACCAAGGGTAGAATGAGGAGCAGTCGGGAGGCTTTCTCCCCATTGGAATGCTGTAAAATTCATTCTTCAAGTTCCTTTAGAAAAATGCTATTTAAATATGGTATTGGGTGTGGTGTAGAATTGCTGTTGCCTCACCTGAATACCTGCCATCCGAGCAATTAGCCCATAGGTCTTTCTAAGGCCAGTTTGTCAAGTTTCATCTCTCTGTAGTACAGTCAGCTTTCACATAGAGAAAGATTCTCTTCCACCATAGCACTTACTCTTACCCTGTCCGGGCTTGCAGTGTGGTCTACTCATGACAGCAGAGTCTAGAAAAGACCATGCACTCTGTAGCTCAAAGGGGAAGAGTCTGAGTATGTGTAGACCAAGGTGCCTCACTAAATTGATGGCCTTGGTAATTCAGAGACTAGAAGAGAGTACCTCTGAAGTGCCTTTTTAAAATGAATCAGATTCATCTGGACTTTTTATAAAAGAACGTAGTGGAAATCCCCAGGGATTTGAGATAATGAACCTATTTTGTAAAATGAGCAAATTTGATTTTTTTTAAAAATTGTTAAGTTGATTTGGATCTAAAAGACAAAATTCACCAGGGTATAAAAGCTAAAAAGGCTGTTTTTAATTGACTAATGAAAATTGTCTAGATGGAGTATTATTTTCAAATGGTATCTTGTATTCATGGAATTGAGTTACTCAGCTATAGCTAGCATAATTGAAAGTGTCTTTAAAAAATACAGGAGCAGCTTTTTGAAGTTTGAGAAATGGATAACTAGTTGGTTGTAGAAATTCACAACTAACATGCAAAAAACAAACCCATGAAAATATCAACTTTTGTTTTATTTCTGTGTAACTATTAGAAGCTAGCTGCTATTTTGTTTGTATTGAAATGGTTTTACCAGCCAGCACCCACCCCTACTCCAGCATCATTGCATTCTGGGAAAAACACTAGAGTTATGTTGAGGACTCAAGGCTCTTGACTCAGGCTCTGCCACTCAGTAGTTTGTGATTTTAGATAAGTAATTTAGTTGTCTGCACGTATAAAATATAACATTCTATTAGTTGTAGCTATAATTTGTTGAACATTTACTATACACCAACTTACACATGAGAAAGCAAAGGCCCAGGGAGTCAAATAACTTAGCCACTGTGGCACAGCTGGTCACCAAGTGGTCAGGGGCAGGGCTACAGTGAGTTCTTTCTAACTATCTGTTCTTTAGCTTACTTTGAGATTTATGCTTTGTGTTGTGACATTTCTGATGGATCAGAATTATGAAGCCCTAATTTTATCCTTCCTACAGCCCTACAAAGATAACAATGTCATCGATTTCTGGTATCAGTGAAGTTGACTCTCTAATTATGTCCTCATCATCACTTATCACTTACCTTCTGGATATTAAAACAATGCTCTAAGAATTGCATTTCTTAGCTAAATATCGAGTCACATACCTTAAGTCTTTTTCAGATTTGTAAGAATTTTCTCAAACTTGGCATTTTAAATATAGTAAAAGTAGAAGTAAGGTGGTATAGACCAGAATTCTGATTTTTCTGGACAGTAAAATTTCCTGCAAAGTGCTAGAGGCCAACATAGGATTGCTAATTCTTTTATTTTGCCAAGTAAGAGCATTAAAAAAACAAACATTATTGCCAGCTTTTCCAAACAAATGAAAAAGAACCCCCACCTTCACCCACCCGCCACCCCCCCTACCCCCCAAAAAAAGAAGAAAGACAATATCAGAATTAGTTCTGAGACACTCTCTACGCTGGTCTTTGTTTTCCTCATTTTGCAGCAGTGTGTTAAACTTCACAGGCTGGCTCCTGAGAGCATCTGGTCTTAGAAGATGATAGTGCTTTACTGAAGCCCTGTTTTCACTGTTGTTGGCCATAGCTCTTGTATTCTCTTTGAGAACACATCCCTTTTGGGTCCTGTGTTGAGATGGTGCACTCAGGATGCCTGTTCCAAAGGTAGGGAAACTTCATGATGCATTTTATCAGGACTAGCAGTTGAGTTGGAAGCAGAGTCAAGGGGTCCAAGAAACAGGTGAATGTAAATCCCCAGCAGAAATGGCTTTCTTTGGGTCTAGCCTTGAATGTTAGGTGACATGACTGATGAAATGCAGTCCACGAGTGTGTCTAGTTAGCTTTATCTAGAATTACTGGGACATTGACTACTTGTATTTTATTCTGGAAACTTAAGACAGATTTGTGTTAGACAACCCAGAATGAGTGTCTAATATTGGATTCAAATTCTAAACTGTATTTTATTTTGCTCTTCTGAAGTTAAATGTAGTCTTTCAAGCCATGGCCAGTTTGCCTAAGTATTTCACTTAAAAGGGAATTAGAGAAAGTTGTCCAAAATTCCCACTCCAAAAGCCCAACACCGTAGCGTTCCAGTGTTGTTTCACTCCCCTGCCAAAATGATGTAACACGATGACTCAGGGAGATGTGGATATGAGAGGAACTGATACGTCTCGGTT